TGGAGAAAGGGGAGTTAGTGTGATAAAACCTTGTCAGACCCTGCTTCTCTCTCTTACTCTCGTGTGCATGTGCGCATGCTTTCTATCATAAATAAAATAAACTTCTAAAATGAATCAAGGCTTGAACAAAAGTAAGAAAAAAACAATGACAGCTCACATGATGTATTTAACATGGGCCAGAAACCATTTAAGCCTTGCTTTGGTGTGAGGGAAGTATGCCACCATCTCTACTTTTCACATAGCAAATGCCGAGGGTCCCTTTGTCAGGAGCTCAGCTGGGCTGGCGGTAGGGAGCTGAGCAGATGAGTACTGAGCCGATGAAATAATGAGCTGAAGATAAAAGAGTTCAGCCTTTAATCACTTACTGCAATGGTAGAAGCAAGTCTGGAACAGAGAAAACTGTCGACCCTCCTTGTATCAATTTTCCCCATGGAACAGTGAGGGTTAGGTGGATCAGCACAGGTGGGACCTCCAACCAAAGGCTCCAGCAGTTCTATGGACCCTAAGTCAGGAGAAGGGCAAAGGGGACAGGTTAGTAGTAGAAAACAACTGAGTACTGAGCCAGCCACAGTGGAGAAATACTGATATGTCTTCAAGATTTCTCTCTCTTTTCCCTTGCATAATAGAGGCCTTGACAGTCTCCAGAGAAATATCTGGCTCAAGGTCTTGGATTATGAAATAAGGAAAAGGGCCAGCAGTAGCACAGAGGTTAAGGTGGCCGGATCCCACATGGCCAACTGAGTTCCAGATTGGCGGCTTGAAAAACATGCCAGGTGTGTGTGTGTGCATGTCCAAAATCCCAAGAGAAGAATGCAGAAGGGCCTGTGGCATATCCATCTCCGTTGGAGGGTGATTTCTCACTTTCTCTCTCTCTCTGGCAAATGCACATGCCCTATAGCAAAATTTTAAAAACTGAAAAAAGGAACAAGAAATGGAAGTGCCTGAGCTAGGAATGGGAATGTAGAAAGGGCACAGCCGGCTAGAGGGACCTGAGTTCTTGTCTGCTGCTCCCTCAGAGACAGCCATGCCTGGGCTGTGCACCGGATCTGGGCTGTGGAAGACAGCTTTCATCTGCGAGACCTGTCAGCTAGAGCTTTGGCCACTGCCTGTGGTCAGGCCTGAAAGACACACCTAGCTTTTAACCAGACTCCTCGACAGCACATAGACATCTTGCAAAGGTCTCAGAGTCATCCATTCCAGCTTCTAACCACTGGGCAATCTTCAACTTGCTCACCTCCTTTCCTTCAACTCTCTCCCCAATGGGACTTGCACAGCTTCCAGAGATCTAGGTTCTTCCTCCCAGGCTCTTGTCAGGAACCTCTTGGTCCCACTTGGCTGCCACGAGTTAATGTTCTCACCTCTACACATGAGCTCCAGAAAGTGGTAGTCAAATTGGAAGATGCCAACTAGGAGCAAATGAGAGGATTTTATATGTTCTCACCACAAGGAAATGATACGTCCTTGGGGTGATGGATATTAATACTCTCATTAGATCATTTCATAATGTATACATGTATCAAAATACACTATATATGCCATAAATACATACGATGATTATTTGTCAATTAAAAATAAAATAATGGCTGACCTATAGCCTAGTAGTTAAGGCAGGCTGACCACGGTATGAATCCTGACCCCAGTGGCTTGAAAAACATACCAAGCTGGAACCAGCAGTTAGCATAATAGCTATGTCGCTGGACTCCCACGTAGTCGACCGCGGTTCACGTCCCCGACCTGGTGGCTTAAAACTCATGCCAGGCGCATGTGCGTGCGTGCTCAAGATCCTGAGAGGAGAGTGGAGGAGAAGGGATTGTGGCGTGGACTGTTTTATCCAGAGAGCTGAGAAGAGAGTGTGAAATAAACTGCAGGGATGGTCAGCATGTGTGCAGTGTTTCCGAACAAGTGTGAGAGAGGTTACTGCTAATCGGGCCTCGTGTGCACCAGTCTAGCCTGGGACAGCACGTTGGGCTGCAGGAGTTGCTTAGTCAAATGCCTGCCCTGGAGAGGAAAGCGGGTTTGTGGTGGCACTGTAATCTGCTCTTGGAACTTCAGTTTTCTCATCCCTAATGATAATGGACTACTGTAGTGGAAAAAATGGTGTGGATTAAATGAAGCAAATCTCAAGAAGCTTTTAACGCGATGCGTGGAACTAGGTAATTACTCAGGAGATGTTGCTTGATGTAACAATTACTACTTCTCATCTCTGAGTCCAGCCTTACCCAAGTCCTATGAGTAAAAGATAAGAATTTTCTAAAACTCTAGATCTTGCTTTGTGTAATTTATGGGCCCTTGCAAAGCTGCACATACAGAAGATTTGCTGTCTGACGTGAACGAAATTGACAGCTGTTTTTAATGCTTGAGCGAGTGGTCTCCACTGTGTGTCTCTAGCTCAAGTTCCATCATTATTGTCCAGAGCTTTAACTCTGCTGGGGTTTCTGGGTGGAAGCTACACCTTGTTTAAAAGGAAACAGAGGTGTGAGAACACAGATGTTAAGCCCTCACTGGCACCTGTGTGGAGACTGCTCTCTTAGGAATCTCCTCTCCTCCACAAGAGGAAGCAAATCCAGGAAAGTAGAGAACATCACACAGAGACCTTCTCTTTAGAAACACGGAAGAAAGGGATATTGAAGGAAAAACTCCACCGGGCAGGCAGGATAGTACAGTGGTAAGGGTGTAGGAGCTGAGATCACATCTCCTGTGTTCCAATCTAGTTCTGCTGCTTGTTAGCCATGTTCCTGTACCTTATGATGCCTTTGTTTCTACCTCGGTAAAATGGGGTAATAATAGTACCTACATCATAGCATGGCTATAAAAATTAAATGAGTCGATTCACATAGCACCCAGTAAGTATCAATAAATATTAGCTGTTGAATTCATATTTGTGATGGAAAGTTTAGATGGACATAGCATGAACCTTAGACTTTAGGAAAATTAAAATAATAATAATAATTTTGAAGCTAATTGTTTGTTTGCTTGTTTGTTTTTTGCCATAAGGTGTGTGCACTCATCAGAGAGACTGAGAGTGGGAAAGTAAGAAATAACCCCCCAGAGGGGATTGCCATGTGACAGTCCCTTCTCCTCCATTCTCTCGGGATTTGGGGCATGCACACACACGTGCCTGGCATGATTTGCAAGCTACGGGATCCAGGACTTGAACTGTGATCAGTCATGTGGTAGTCCAGCACCTTAACCACCATGCCACCTATTGGCCCTAACAGTTTTTTAATTAAAATTTTAATTAATGGTTTAATTAAAAAAAATTCAGAGATAGGTAAAGTGGAAATTGAAGGAGAGAATTTGGCTTAAGACAGTTTGGCAAGCTTTTTCTATAAAGGGCCAGTTGGTAAATATTTGTGACTTTGTGGGCCATAGAATCTCTGTGACAACTGGTCACTCCTGCTGTCACAGCACAGAAGTAGCCATAGATAATGTGTTAACAAAGGGGCCTAGCTATGTCCAGTCAGACTTCATTTACAAAAACAGATTTGCATAGTTTGCAGATTTAGAGGGAAGGAACACACTAAAGTATAAAATATAAATTTCTGCCTGAGTAATTGTAAATGATGTCAGTAAGATAAAATGCAAGAAGGCTTTTAAATGAACCAGCCTAGCTATAAAGGGAGTTGTTTACCTCAGACTGAAAAAGGACATGTACCTGAAAGAGTGAGAACTGTGGCATCTTTTGCATGCCATATAGTTTAGAAATAAATATGTCAACTAAAAATAATAATATTTTTTTAGAAGGTTAAGCTCTCCATGAATCTGTGTGAAAGTTTAAAGATTTAAAAAAAAGAAAGAATATATTTTGTTTCTGTTTTTGGAGGGCTGTTTAGTGTGTTGAAAAGTTAAGAGTAAAAAAAGGAAAGGTCATCCACCTGTGCACAATGCTGTAGGGTAAATAATGCCGTGGCCTCGGTAACCATGGCTGCATGGGAGGAGACCCGGAAGTGGACTGCAGGACCTGGAAGTGGATCAGGTGGCCCTTTGGGTGCCAAGAGACAATCCAGTGTAAACTGCAAGAAAGAGTTCTTTGCCCAAAGATAACCTCAGCATTTTCAATAAGGGAAAGATGTTGAGAAGTGATCTAAAAGTTCTCGGATTCAAGAAAAGTTAACTCTAAATGGCAAGATTTGGGACATTTTCTTGTTTCTACCTCTGAGTAGTTTTTATTTTAAGCATTTATGATTTTTGGGCATCAAAGAAAAACAAAAGCTATTTAGGGCGATAAAGTCTTCATAGAGAAGTAGCCTTGGGACTGATGATTAGAAATGATAAGAAGGTAGATTTTCTTTAGCATGAATAGAAATTTCCCATTGTAACGGTCTGACCTGCAAACCACTGAGTGTCTCATGAGGCCAATGCTAACTGCTTTTACAATACATCAGTCATTTTCCTGATAGTAAAATTGATCTCTTACTATATACCCAATACTTGCTCCCCCAGGTTCCTTTGCAATTAGGGCAAGGGCAAATCACCCCATCCTGGCCAAGGAGAATTGCTTGAAAATCTGCTGAGTGTCTCCCGGGAGAGGGAGAGGTTCTCTCTCTGTCTCTCTCTCTCTCACATACACACATAGGAGGAGAAACATCACCTTTCCAGTGTTTGATGTGCTCTGTGTAGATGCAGTGTTTGGTGCAGCAGCAGCCATTTTGTGACCATGAGAAGCTAAACCTGTGGTTACTGTCCAACACTCTGGGGATGGTAGAGCAGAAAAATAGAAAGAATGGAATCCCTGATTAATTGAACTGTAACCATGTCTTATCCTCATCCCCAAACTTCTAAGAAAAGTGTTCTTACTGAATCAATTCTAGCTGAATATTTTCTAATCATTCTAGTAGTTTTTAATTGTTTTATCCTCCTTGAAATGATCACCTAGAAGCACAATGTTCGCATTTCTCAAGTTCTCCAAACATCATCAGGCTCATTTTGTCAACTTTCTTGGGTCCCTGGAACTTAATTGTGTTAATATAAAACTCTGCAACAAGGAGTCAGAATGCACTTTTGAAATTTTTATTTCATATCATTAGATTTTGTTGCTCTAACTATTGGGGGGAATAAAGGTGTTTTCATGTGGCGTGGTGGTTTCTCTTTCTCACGGTGATTGTCATCCTTTCTGAAGACCAGTTCTGTGGAAGACAAGGATAAATCCTGAGGATTCACATCGGTGGGGCACAAAGTACCCAATCTCTGCACGTGAGGACTTATAGGCAGGTCTCGGGGAAACACCAGTCTTCGCATCTCCTATGAGGTAGAGAACAACTGTAATGAAATAGGGCGTGGGGCTGTGAGTATCTGCTCTAAAACACCACGTTCAAATCCTGGCTTTGCCACTGACTGATGGGCAGTTACTGAACATGTCTTGGGTTTTGTTTCTTCGTCTATAAAATGAGTCTGATATTAACATGGTGGAGGGCAAGAGGATTTCGTATTTGTAAAGTCTTTAGTACTATGTCTGGAAGGTAGTAAAAGCTCATTAAAGATATTTATTGACTTAAGACGAGGAAATGTCTTAATAAAACCTACTGTAAGTTGAAAATGCATCTAATACACCTGATCTACCAAACTTTATAGCTTACCTTAGAAGTATTCAGAACATTTACATTAGTCTATAGTTGGACAAAATCATCTATGGTAAAGTTGAATGACGTGCAATTTATTGAATATTGTATTGAAGGTGAAAAACTGAAAGGTTGGGTAGGTACTCGAAGTAGAGTTTCTAACAAATGCATGTTACTGAATGCAACCTACTCTCACTTCTGCACCATTATAAAGTTGAAAGGTGAGAAGTTGAAAAATTGTAAGTCAAACCATCATAAGTTGGGGAACATCTGTACATGGGAGATCTATTCTTCCCAAATGTCATGTGAGTAGAGAAGGAGTTTCTTCCTGGAGATTTTGTTCTTGCATGGGCTGAACTAAGCATAAAGCAGTTCGATTTGTATAACACTCATCTTCTCTGGGGTTATCAATGAATGAAGCTGGTCTTCTCCTTACCATTTCATCTTCTCTGTTTTTACAGCATGATTTTGGCAGATGGCTAAGTTTTCCTAGTGGATTACAAGTTCCTTAAGAATAGGATTGGACTTTTGGGACCAGCAGTTAGCGTAATGGCTATGTCGTTGGACTCCCAGGTAGTTGACCGCGGTTCGAGTCCTGGACCCAGTGGCTTAAACTCACGTTGGGCATGTGTGCGTGCGTGCCCAAGATCCTGAGAGGAGAATGGAGGAGTAGGGATTGTGACATGGCCATCCCCCCAGGGGGTGATTTCTTGCTTTCTATCTCTCTGTCTCTCTCTGTCTGTCTGGCTAGCACACGTGCCCTATAGCAAAAACCTCTACCAAAAAAAAAAAAATAAGAATGGGGTTGGACTTTTCATTCCTGGGTTCTTAGATAGCTTAACTCTGGGCTGTGCACACACACACACACACACACACAGATGCTTAGGACATGTTGGCTAATGCATAGGAACTACTTATGAGATGAGGCACTGAAGCTTGTTTCTAGACAACTCAAAACAGTAGTTCTCAAACGTGACTACACATCGAAATAAATGTGTGAAAGTTGACCAACCACCTGGTTTTCCCAGGTTTCAAGGACTAGAATTTTCCGTTTTAAGATCGGAACTGAAGAATTTGGGGAGAATTTAGAACGCTTAGTGCTAAAAGTTGAAAAGCCCCAGGAAAAGTGTGAATATACGTCTTGAGAAACTTGGATGAGTTGGTTTTCCTATTAATGGAGCTGATCTGATGCCACTCCAGAGTTGTTGTGTTTTTTTAACTTTTAAAAAATTATTTTTATTTCTTCTTCTTCAATTTGACGAGAGAGAGACAGAGAGAGAGGGAGAGAGAGAAAGCCACCAGCACCTTAACCACCATGCCACCCACTGCCCCCCAAAGCTGCTGGTTTAATCAGTCTAGGATGAGGCTTGGTATTAGCATGGCTAATTACCCAGGTGATTCTGATGTTTGGAAAAAGATGAATAAGAGCTCCTGACCTGGATTCCACTGTGATTGTAATCTATGAATGGGTTATAGGTGGCCTGGGATATTGCCCCTCCCACTCACCCCACACTCCTGACTTGGAAGCTCTGGTTGTCAAGACTCCGTAGCAACTTTCTAAGTCCACCTCACTGTGCCTTCCAAATTGTGCCATGACATGAAGAAGGTTGGGAAGCACTAAGTAATAATGTGTAAAGGTGGCACACAGAGAATTATTAAAAAAGGAAATTCCAAGATCCTCCAAATTGAAATTACTATAAGATTGGGAATCTATATTTTTTATATACCATAGTTTAATTTATTTTTAACACCCATCATGCCATGAATTCATAGGGAATAGGTTCCAGCAGCTCAGGTTCCTTTCCATTGGTTCTCATAAAGTGTGCTTCTCTGGGTGGAGCAGGCTGGCACTTCAGTTGAACCCAGGTACCTTTCTCTTTGGCTTCCTTCTTTTCCTGGTCATTTTCCTTCTGATGTTTTAGGAAGCTACCTCTGCTCTTAGAATGCTTAAAATGCTCAATATGCACATTCTCTTGCCAAGAATCTTACCCTTAACTTTTTGTTTACAACAATGCCAACAGCATGCTGGGTCACATTGTAGATTCTTCCAGTGGTGCCATAGAAACGTTTGTGGGGCATTCTTTTCTAAATAATACCCATTCCCTTGATGTCTACAATATCACTTTTACTGTAGATTTGCATGTATGTTGCCAAAGGAACCCTTCTATGTTTTCTAAAAGGCCTAGAGAACATGTATCGG